TTAATAACATTTCCGTAGTATGGATTTATCTTTGCATTATTCTTCAATGTAAGAAGGAAGACAAGACCAATGAATATAGTTTCATTTTGTATTTATACGTCTGAGCTGGTGAAATTTCATTTGAAAACATTTCACTTCACATCAAACAGAAAAAGATCCATTTGCAGCTGCTTTAGTATTCATTCAGTAGCTGGATCTCATCCTTTTGCAAAATTTAATTATGTGCTTTCTGAAATGGAAGTAAGTGGCAATTTTCTTAATGCAGTTAGCACCATACTTAATATTATAATAATACTGATTTATAATCTTGTCATGTCTCTCTTGAACTCTTCTTTAACACTGAAAAACATCTTCTAACATCTGCTGGAAGGAAAAAAGATGACTATAGATACAAATATGTGTATAGGTGTTAAAAGGTGCAGTTTCTGAATATAGCTATTTTGATCTATAATTACTTGCCCGGAATCTTTCAATAGCTGCTAAATGAACGATGAAATTCAACTCCATCTACATATTACAAGGTAAGGACAAGTTTGTAAAGCATTGAGTGAGATGCTAATCAGCTCTTCTAAAATTAAAGGGGGGTTAAATGATTGGAATCTGATGGAAGGTATTTTCAGCTCTAATCAGGCAGTTTAATGGAGTTGTGCACGTTGTGCCAAATGAATGTTTTTTTGCAGTTGAGTTGACTGGTCTTGATTTTGACCAGCAATTATTTAAAGAATAAAGATTTATTCTGAAGACCTGCTCAATTCTTGGGTTGGTAAGTTTGTAACTACTGTAGAAGTGTGGTGAGGCTGCGTGAAGTATTGGGACCTGCGTTACTCACTGAAGGATCAATACAGAAAAATTAACTTTCCTTCAAAGACTCTTAATGTTTCATTAGAGATTCCTGTTCTGTTGTCGTCTCTGGAAGAATGCCATAGAGGCACTAAATTAAATTAACCAAGCAACGGGGTAAAATAGCATATAAAAATATGATATTAAGAGAAAGTGAGTTAGTATCAATGCATCTAATTAATTAGGTAAAGTATAATTCTAATTAAAATATCAGCAGAGCCTTACAGTTTCTCAGAAATCATTTAGAAACTGAGCAGGATTCTATCCATATGGTGCCAAATGGTACCTATAGATTCCACCTCAAGTAGACTAGGAGAACACATAGTAAAGAGTGATACTTGAAAATAGTGCCAGTACTAACACCAGTACTAATTGGAATAATGCCACTAAATTCTGTCCACGCTATTGGTGGTTAGTTTTTCTCTCCACCTCTGCACTTTCAGTGACTCTAGAATGACCCCCACCTCTTCCTAAAGCAGTGTTTAATAACTGAGTAAGACCATAGGAGTCTAATAGCTTTTAGTTGTGTTTCAACACGGATTTAATAATACACAAGCTGTTCTTGTTGCATGAATAAATTTTCTGTGTGTGCCATCTGCTGGACCCTGCCCAGAGTGCAATGTTAACTTGTAGATCTCTTCAGTTCTATTTGGACCTAAATAAAAATATCCGCAACTAAAGAGATCACAGCAAAAACATGAACGACATAACATCATCTCACTTTATGAAAGCAGTAGGGTTTTTGAGTGACTGTCGTTCACAGTATACTAGTCAGAAAAAGACATTTAAATACTTCTTTTGTGATTCTTAGATTGGGAAAACCCAATGAAGCATGATTTAAAACTTGGTTTTGTGTATACAACTTTTATTTAATGATTATTTTCTAATAACATCCATGTTTCTGTGCTGTGAGCAGCCCATAATCACAGTGATGGATAAAAGATAGTCCTCAAGTTTGGTCTATGTTGATGTATCGAACATTAATAAATAGTCACTTGATGAGAGTAGACTTGATGTGGTTTTAAAAGTCACTTAAATTTTTACAGTAGCTGATAGTAAAACACCATTTAAAATCAGAATTCTGTTTTGTACAGTGGCATGTATACATTGAGAAGATTTAAACTGATTATATCCTTACGGCAAGCTCTGAAACACTGCTTCACCAACTGCAGTTCTCAAACATACGTAAGAATATGAGGAGGGGAAATGGACCTTATTGTGCAAATATTCATGCAAATAGACCACTGCATAATAGCCATAAACTCGGATTAGCTAACAGCTCGGAGTAATTAACAGGTCTGTTGTCCAAATTTGGACAAAATTAAGTACTGTAGAAATTTGAGGACCAGAAACACTATGTGCAAAGCATATCAGAAAGAAAATACTTAAAATACATTGGGAAATAATTCTGCAAGCTTGCTTACAAAAAAGTAAAAAATGAAACTGCTTTATTTCTTCCATAGAATAATTATTGTAATCATGTTTCTGAAATTCCAGCATACAAATTCAGCAATGTATAATACATTAAAGAAATCAGAGAAGCATGCATTTTCCACATATCTACACGATTTCATATAATTATTTCAAACTTTGAATGATAAAAGTAATTATTAATTCCAAACTTGTGAAAAATTTTACTTGGGGAAAGACCTATAATGATGAGATGGAAAATCAGAGAGTAAATTATCACTATAAAAATGGGTTTGTGTGCGAAATAAGCAAAGATACCTACTGTGTATAAAATAGTAGTTTATTACCAAGAAAAAAGATTTTTGATGACTTTCTTTTCAAAGTTCTCATGCAAATGAGAAATGTGTGTCCACTGAAGTACCCTTTTTGGTGCTTTATGATACAGAATAAAGGTGATTTAATCAGGTTTGGGGGGGTTGGTTTGGTTTGGTTTGGTTTGTTTGTTTTTTTTCTTCTATCAACAGCTCTAACAATTTCTCCTACAGAGAATGTAGAAAGAGAGGTTACAGTAGATATTCCAAAGGTTCATACCACTGTGTCACTTCATGGCTTAAAAAGTACAAGTTCTAGAATCATAGAATCATTCAGGATGGAAAAGACACGGTATGGGATTGCCCTTCACTCTTGTCATTTTTGGGTACCATGCAAATGCTATGGAGCAAGCTTGTAAAGTAACCTAGCTACAATAAATTATTATTATTATTTTAATTACTCTAAAAAAGTTACATGCTCTTTTGAGAAATTACCTGAATGTGTGGCAGCTTTGTTGTCACCAGTCCCAGCCTCACCTAATTCATTACCTTTGGCTGGAACACATATTTATTTGTTGGTTTTATGTTTGGGTTTTTTGTTGGTTTTTTTTTTTTTATGCTGCAGGATAGATCCTCCTCTGCTGGACTTGAACCCGAGACCTGTGGTCTGAGGGAACAGAGTAGTTAATCTAATTAATTTTAATTCGATTTTCTAAGTCGGGACATAAACATTTTTTTTTTTTTATAGTTTAAGTGATTTGGAAGGAAAAGGTTAATATAAAGCCTGTTGTACATCGGTGGTTTGGCTTTATCAAGGCACTTTATCCTGAAAATCCCTTTCTTTGGGTTACACTGTATAAAAACTCAAGCTTACCGGAAATGGAAAGTCTTTGTCAAGGAACGTTGTCATTAAGCCATCATTAAGATCATCATCTTCTTGACCAGACAAACAGCTCATCATTAGGGTAATAGAGATAAATGGATGTCAAGATTCTACCGATTTCAAGATAGGTCTATTTTCGACAAGAAATGTTGGGTAGTTATGTAGCTTTCCTGTTAAGGACTATGTATAAAACTAATCCTAATTTATAATTAAAATAAGAATTTGTGTATGGAAAAATACTTTAAAAAATGTTTTCTAGAAATCTGCTTGTTACTTCAGAACTTTTCTCCATTCCCACTACAAAACTCTGAGCATTTACCCAATGAAACTTGCATCTTACCTTGAGTAGATGAGTGAAACCATTTTATCTCAAAAAAAAAAACCCTAACCAACAAACCTCTGCTGCTTGAGCCAGTATTTCTTTTATGCTACTGACTCTCTTTAAGTCAGTGGGCATGGAGCAAGATGCTTGAGAGCAGGGCACTGCCCAGTGCTCTTTCAGGAGAAGCAATAAAGTCCATGTGGATAATTAGGGAGAGACTTTCTCCCCTGCTGTAGTGTGGGAACATGGACAACAACTTCAAAGTTTACTCTCTGAAGTAGAATTGAGCAATTAAACCCAGACTGAAACAGGATTTAGTACTGTTTAGACAGTTTAGAGAGAATTTGAACTTCACCAAACTGAGGGGAGGTGGGAAATTTCTACAGTTAACCAGATGAGGTGGAGCTGAGTGCTGTTGTCCCCTCTCCATGTACTACTACTAGTGGTAATGTTTCACATTTGTTACCTTAATCTCAGCTGATCCTTACTGAGATGTTTACAGATCCTCTGTAGCATACTCCATAGCAGGACGCTGGGTTTTAAAAACACAGAGCAGTTACCTCAACCGTCGTATTAGCTAGTACTCTGAAGATTACTACCATTAGTAAAACCTATCTGACACTTAAGTCTTTGGTATCTGTTTAATATGACTGCAAAACAGTAAAGGAAAATGTTTGAATGACTTCTTGTACAAACATTTTTTTTATAACTTGCGTATGTCCTAAATATTTTTAATTGTTTCATCATCTTAAGATCAACTTTAATATTATCCATTCAGCTGTTTTCAAAAATAGACAGTTAGAGCTTTTGCAGTAGTTAAATATGGCTAGGCTCAACTTTGGGGAGGTGGAGGGAAGGGGGACACGTGTAGGCCTGGACTTAAACATGCCGGGCATGTTCTTTTTTTGACCCCCAAGCATCTGAACTTGCGCTGTTTGAAAAGCAAGGCGTAACTTCAGCTGAACTTGATGGTTTTAGAAAGTAGCCAGGAGTCCTGCAGATAGCGTGCCATCGCCTAGCAACAGGGCTATTTTGTAATTTTAGTCTTTATTACATTGAAGTTGTGACTAGAACATGGTTCTGCTGTGCGGGCAGAACAAGTTGTCATCTGAAGCCATAGGCATTTAGGGGCAACACAATGTTTTACTCTTTGTCTTTACCAAGGAACGATGAGTATTTCTTAGTGGCCGTGGCTGAAAAAGCCCTGTAACTTCAATGCTGATGCTGATCCATTTTAGTCACCCTGATTCTTGACTGTGTTTCTTCTTGGTGTGAAAACCATCTCCAGCAGAGGCTGCCTTTCTATCGGGTGCATGGATAAATCATTGTTTTTCTGGATGTTGTTAAGGCCTCTTCCTTTCATTGTCTGTACTCTGCACCGTCTCAGAAGAGTCACCAGAATTGCTTTCATCATTACCATGGCAATAAACTTTCCTACACAGCCCCGAGGGCCAAATCCAAATGGTTGGAAATAGCGTGAAGGAACCTGTACGGAATAACATGAGCAATAAAATTAAAGACAATTTTTTTCTTCGTAAAAATAGCCAAAATTATGATGGAAATTGGTAGTAAATATGTTCTGAAAAACTGGTGGAAAGAATCTCTTAGGAGCAATTCTTCCCTTTACACTGAACTGCCCTTTCACCCAAGTCAGGCCGGAATACAGAGACACCTACAGAAGGCAGGAGATTATAAATGCTAAGATAGCAGGAATGCAAAGTGAAGCAGTTGAATTCTGCCCGTGTATTTAGAGCCTGTTCACCCTGTGAGCTACATTTACCTGTGAAATGAAGCTTTTGCTCTTCGATATGCATTAAAGTTCATTAAAAACTTTTTCAGATGTTCATCACAAAGCTCATAAATGTCTGAGATACAGGCCGATCCCTTGTGTAAAGATAATCCTAAAGCCATACACCTACTAGAATTGTCATTAAAAAGTTAATGCTCCTGAGAATTATTTTGTCATAATTGAAAATTGAAAATTATATTTGATAGCTAATAGAGACATAACGCTTATAAAATGATCATCTTCTGTCTTGTCCACTAAAATGTGAAATGCAGGATTCCCAGAACTGCTAAGAATGCACAGCCAGTTTCTGCTACTTTTATCGACATTGAATAGATCAGTATTCCAAAACAGTCCCAACAGCACGAATAGTACTGCTAATGAGGTACAAAGGTACTTATTATGAGTAAGGAAAAGCAAGTCTGGCTAGAAATAAATTATTTTTCTTCATCTGTGTAGCTTGCTTTTTTTTAAAAAGTGATTAGCTGTGTTCTGACTTACATTTAACTAAAGAATAGAGTAGAAAAGGTTGCTTTATATTAAATTTTTTTTTCATTTTCAGACTGCGAAAAGTGTTTTCTGTTTAAATTTTTTTTCAAATAAACTGAGCTGTAATTTTTGCAAAACGATAGGTAAATACAAGGGTTGATAATACAGAGCAAGTACAGCAGCTGGCAGTACAGCACAATGGCAAACGCACAGCCTGGGAAAATGGAGAAATGTTTAGATTCTAACAATGCCATCTTATCATAAATAATGGTGTGAATTGCTATTCGCTTAGACAACTGTGTGAAAATTGTGCCTGCTAGAGTAATTATGTGGCAAACAGAATGCATCAGGTCAGATAGAAAATGTGTGGTTAAATATTTGGTCAAGGGGAGATATTTTTAGTAGCGAAGTGTACTTTTAATATAAGCAAGAAAATTTTGATAGAAGTACTTAGCATGAAAATAATGGGTGGCAAAACGGAAGCCATTCCAAGTGAATAGTTATTTCAATCAACTTAAGCACTTACTCTCAAATTTTCTACAATTTTTTTTTTTCTTGATGTTTTTAATACTGTGTGCAGAGTTTGCCGTGGGTAATCGAAGAGCAGTTTAGAAATGTTAACCAGGGTGTTTAGTGCTCATTCGTGTGTGGCATACATGGTACTCCTAGATTTTTTGATAGGAAAAAATTAAAATTTAGGGGCATGTTTCTAGCTTGAGCATTCATATATTTTCTTTCTTTATTTTCTTAATTATTTCTTCCAGTGTTCTTACTAGTAAGCCCATTTTTGGTGTATCAAAGTGGATCAATTATTTATTTCTTTACAACTGAAATTACTGTCTGTGGACACTTATATGTGTAGCTGCTGACATCTCAAAAGGAGGAAAAAAAAAAAATTGCCAGGTGATAAAATTATTTTAGTTGGACAAAATGAGAGCTGGTGACAGCTGTAGAAAATATTAACCCTTTAACTTCAGCCCCATCCAACCTTAATATTTGACAAGCCACTAGAAAATGTAAAAGATTCCATACCGGGAAAATGTGTGCATCTCTGATAGTAAGGCTAACGTTCTGCAGTTAAGATTCCCTTCGTAGAACTAAGTCGATTATTCCCTCCACTCTTGCATGGTTATTTATTCCGGATACTTTTTAAATTCCCTCCCAGGAGTGCTAAGCAAACCTTAGCATTTCACATTTTGTGCTGCCACATGGGTAGCAGTATCATCTGCTTCCATCTGCACTGGTTAACGGTCAAAAAGAAGGATTCAAATGTGCCATAGAATCAGTCTATTTTCTTTCCTTCTTTCAGTTTTAATCTATGCAGATGATTATTGCTGAACAAATACAGTTTTGCAAAACAATTTGTTTAATCGGTGATCAGAAGAGCAGAGGTCTAAGTGAAAGTAAATAGTTGATTTATGATAGATGGAGGGTTGCAAGTGGGGAAAAAAGTTCACATTTCTTTTGCTACAGGACTCAGTAATATAGACTAAAGAAAATTCTAGGTTTTTTGAGAGTTAGAATTTAATTTAAATTGACATGCTGTGCCGAACTGGGACTGAATTACTCAGCATCTGCAGTATTGAGTTTTGGTCTATAAAACATGTTTGGTTTTATTTAGCAATTTTACAAGAGAGAATAAAATGGGTGCTAGATTCTCAGTCTCTCAGGAGTTTCTATACTGCTTCATCTCTCCTGAGAATCCTTACGTGGCCTCGGCTCTGTGTTATACTGCTTGCAAGGCTCTAGCTCCCTAAAGCCTCTTTATTTTGTCCAGTGTTAGGGGATATAATGGGAACTATGGGTGTCTGACAAGTTTAATCAGGAATTTTTAATCAAAATTAAGATGTCTGGGAAAACTTTGGTTTTGTTATCATAAGTATTTTTTAATTAAAAGGCACTTTTGTAGGAAAATATTGGCCTAGCTTTAATCTTAATAATAACAGTAATAAGCAGGATGTATAGCTAACTAGGCACTTATACAAAGGGATAACAGTCTTACGGTCACAAAGTTCTTGATCAAAATAAGAGGGAGAGACATTCTCAATAGATAATACCCAGTTTTCTGTAAAAAATAAAATAGAAAACTCACATTTTTCTCAAAATTTTCAAGAGAGAACTCATTAGGCTTTGGGAAGAATTCAAGCTTATGCATACGTCCAATATTGAGAATAATGTTTGTCCCCTTTTTCACAGGATAGCCATCGATTACATCATCTTGTAAAGCTTTTCGCATGATCAGGTCCACAACTGGCTGGTATCTCATGCTCTCATAAATAAAATTCTCCACAATTTTTAAGTTTGGCATGTCATCACTCTGTATGTCTCTGTCACCTTGCGGAACAGAACAGATGGTGAAGAAGTTGGTTACGAATTTAATAGTTTCATTGTACAAATACCAAAATATTTTTTTAAGATTCTCAGTTTCTGAAATTGTAGGAAGGATCCAACATCTTCTAAGGAATTTTATGTAGCCCTACATATTCAGGAAACCTTGTATATTGTTCATCAGCATAAACCCTGGTTAGTTAATTTATGATCTTCTCACCTTCTTAATACATTATGAGTCTTTGCTCTGCTTTCTTGTCAATGACAGAACTCCCAGAGTCCTTCCCTGAATTCTGTGTGTCTGAGAGCAACAAGACACAACAAAGAAATCTTCTGAGAGCTGAAAGCAAATGGAATCTGGGACTAGTCTGCAGATGGGACATAACTTTGTAGGGAACTTAAATTTTCACCGTGTGATTGGGTTTGGGTGGATGCACAGCTAGGTCCTGCCATGGCCTGACTCTCTCGGTTACCGTGAGTAGCTTCCTCCCAGTTTGAGTCCATCAGCACCAGTATCAGCGCCGTGATGTGCTGCCAGTGGGAGCCTTACTTGAACTTTCAAGCCACAAGCAGCTCAAGACCTACGGTCTGAACGCTGCAGTGGTAGGTTTACAAGATAAAAGGCAGCTTTGCTACCTGAGCTGATCATTTGCTTAAGGAACAGGCGACAACATTCTACTGCCTTAGAAGTCGAGGCTATTAGAAATAAATAGGGAAAATAAATGAGTACTCAACTCTAATGAGTAAAACCAGGTTTAATAAAAGTACCTTAGAAAGAGAGTAAAGGACTTGTTATTCACTTTCCAGTGTTTAACTGACCAGAAGTAAATCTTGAATAAGAGTGGTTGAAATTATTTCCTATATTAGGTCAGTGTCAGGCTTTGAATGAAGTCTAGAGAAAGAGAAGAATACAAATTTGGAATATCTTGGTTGTGTTTCGAATAGTTAGTATTTAGAGGAGACCAGTTTGATATCAAAGTGGATGACAGCAGAATATAATTTTAATTTTCTCTACACTTTCCTTTCTGCAGTCATAGTGGAACCTAGACGGGTTCTCTATATACATGGTACTGGTGATTAGAAGTATTTGAAATGAGTGTTCCTCTTCTGCTATTCACGGTAAATGGAAAATCATTTCAATGGAATTAGTGAGGTGAGTGCTGATTTGCGCTGCTGATGCTGAGGAGTGATTTATAGCGTGTTCTTTCTAATACATTGTCAATTCTGATGATTCCTTTTTGAATTTGTTTTGCAAATTGCTCATCTTCTTTCATTTGATCTTGAATAAAATCTTTTATATATTGGTAGTCATATATTTTACAGCAAATGCTTCTGTTGGAAGAAAACAGAATTTTTAGCCTTTGAATAATCAAAATTTGATCACTGCTGAAGCAAAATTATGTTCCCACATCACTGACTTCGCAGCTCCTGCTTACCCATAACAGTTTCAATTTCTCTCATCATGTCCTCTTCCACTGTGGGGTGCTCTGCAATCAGTATTAGCATAAAGAAGAGAGTCACAGACAGAGTATCAGGAGCGGCAATCATCATCTCCAACACACACTGGTTCACGTTCTCAGCAGTCAGGTCCCCTCTGTTCTGAAAAAAAAAAATTGAAATTTTTGGGAAAATGTTGATTGTGGACCTCTGATGCCAAGAAAGGTCCTATAGTGGTAGAATGGGAAGGACCTGGACTATCTGCTTTAAACAAAAGTAAAACTCTTGTCAGTCTTTCTATCATATTTAATAGGCTAAATAGCAATTATTTATTTTTTTTTTCCTTTGGAGAAAACCAGAAAAGTCATGTTTTGATGAGTGTATATTATCTTACAGAAAAGCAAGAGTTAGCTTAGCTCAGATTCTTACCGATTTATTGCTTTTCATCACAGAATTTGTGAGCTATCAGAGATTATACAAGGGAGGATTTACTTTGCGTTTGGAGCTGTTGCAAACAAGAGGCAATACATCAAGATAAAATACAGGGGTTAGGGAAAGACTGGAGGCCATTCAGGGATAGATGCAAGACTTGTAAGGATGCTGTTTAAGCCACGAAAAAAAAAAAAATCAGAAAAGCACATGTTCCCAAAACTACAACTCTTCAGTGTTTGAGTCACTACAAGTGACTCCACAGAACCAACTGATTTGTATGTTTATGATGACACGACTTTCAGATAGGCTTTGCAAGTTAAACGTCATCTATCGGTGGTGTTAGTGACAGGAGAATGTCGGAAAAATCCAAGTTAAGGCATATTTCGAGTACACTGCCAATACCTGTGCAAAAATCAATTGGGATGCGAAATCCATGTGCTCGTCCAATTTTTCAACAGTGGAAAGCTTTTGTCTTTTCTGTTCTATTAGGATTTCCATGGCTCCTTTCAGGTCTTTGCTGAAAACAGATGAAATCCAACATATGATAAACATCTGTAGGCTTTGAGTGTACACTAGGATATGATTAGAAACATAGAGATTATACCAATAAAAACATCTAAGAGTGGCAGAAGTCGAGTATTTCTAAAAGTGGTTATGTGGTTTTCCGCAAAAACAGTAATACTAAGAGAAGATGTATTTTTCTTATTGTTTCTTACTAATTGCTTGTTTGGACCGAAATCTCTTTATATAGGATGGACTGGAAAGGATGAAAATATGTCAATGTATGTTATTAATGAGTAGAGTTTTTTAAAGATTTATTAACATTTCCAAATAATTCATGTATTTCCTTCTATTTTATGTTTTGAATAAAATGAACTTGGAGGACATGGGGGATAATTGTTAGAAAAATGTAGATAAATTGTAAATGTTAGAAAAATTGTACTATCTTGAAGGTAGAGTTGATTTAATTTTTCATATTTAAGTAGTCAGTAATACTGTGTCAACAATTTGTAGTTCAGTGGTGGGAAAAAGTAAGGTCCAACAATTTTTATAATTTTATTTAGGATATTCAATTGGCTATATATTTGAAGGCGATTTATTTTAAAAAATATTTTTAAAGGTTTTTTTTTTTTTAAAGGAAATTCTCAGGCTTTCCATTTGGTTTTGTTATTGTTGGGATAGAAATTTTGACTAGGTTTACCGGGGTAAATGCATTTAAAACTTCAAACCTGGTAAAGTTCTCATTATTTATAACATCTTTTATGTGTTAGAAATTACAAATGGTCCTTTTTGCCAACTTTATCAGAGGAATATCAAAAGTCTTTTTTTTTTTTTTTTTTTTTTTCCCAGTAGAAATTTATGAATAAGTCCATTTTTATGGATTTGCTTTTGCAACATCAATATTTGCCTGCAGGGGCTTTCTGGTAATAACTCAGCCACCTCACTTAGCTATTACTAGAATCACAGGATAAAGAACTAATCAGTCCCATAATATAACTGGCAAGCAAATGGTAGAGAAGATAGATCTCGTGTCTAGTTCATAAGAGTTGTCAATTACTTTAGGTGAGCTTCCATCTTTCCCCTGAAGTCTTTATGTTATACAGCACTATCAAAACAATTTATTGCACATGCTTCATAAGTAGTAGTTTCTCTCACTAGATGCAATCCAAATCCAAAATGAACAAACTGATTGCCAGTTCTTTTTATAGTCAGTCCTGTTTTGGCAGAAGATAGCAAATGCGAACATAAAAATAGAAGAGGCATTTTGTATTTTTGCAAAGAGGAAGATGACAAAATGTATTTGTTCCTTACTTAGGAAAAAAAAAAAAAACCACAACACCCTTGAAATGGATTATCATGCTATGCTGAGCACCAAGTTTTAACACAAAAATGAGCTGTTGACTCAAAAATGCATGGTGAGGGAACCAATAAATCGAATTATGCTCAGGGTTTAACTCTTGTGGGATAGTGCCATGAATGTAGCTGCTTCTTCTTATGATCAGCTGTAGCTTTGATATTGGACTGTCCTCGACAAGATAGCAAATGTAACTTTACCCCATATGATGGCTCTTCCTTGTCTGTTTGAACCAGTGATTTAAATTTAATTTCACATTTGAGCTGTCAGTAACTAATATTTGGGTGAGTAAACTAGAGCGGAGTCGACAGTGGCTATAAATCATCCCCTGAGATCAGCCACTTGTAGAATCAGTGGGATATCTTGTTTTGTTGCTATCTTGGGCCTGCATATAGGGAATTCAGCCAGTCACCTTTGCAATTTATTTTCTAAAAGACAGAGAATATCAAAAGACCTTTGTAGAAAGAAAGGATCTTATGCAAACGGTTTTTAAGACCATTGATACTTACGCCGCCTCCTCGTATTTCTTGCACAGCCAAGAAATCTTAAAAAAGATGTCAGGCTTTAATAAAAGTGCTTGCCAAGCGTCAAAGTAATTTTGAATCTTAAGTACAATGGCATGTTCTGAAAAGAAACATTAACAAAAAGCAGTATAAAACATAAACTTCAATAGCCAAATAACACGTTCAGAAAAATGAATAATAAGGCCCTGTTCCCTACTCTAAGTTAATGGGAATTGGATAAACAACTGGTTTTAATGGTGGGAAATAGCATTAGGAAACATTTGTGGCACGCTGTAGAAAAGGTATAGATCTTTGTAAAACCTCCTGGTAGGTAGCTAAAAGGAGATTGTGGTGTATCAACCACAGGTGAATAGTCTCCCCCAGGGGAGCAGAAGCAGAGCTCTTGCAGCATATTTAAATGGGATAATTTAAACAGCGGGATAATGGCATTTCTGTCATATGGTTCTGAGGATGGAGAAATCTTAGAAGACATAAATTGTCTTTTCAAGGAAATCATTTATTTTGGCAGGATTTCCAATTCTTACATGCATATAATAGTGGGATTGTAGCAACTCAGTGCATTAAAAATAATCTCTTTAAATGGTACTATTTATTAAGGTGAATGTGACAGACTAATGTATATTTTTGGTGGCGTAAGATTCTTTTATAATCAAAATCACTCATAAATCAATTTCAGTTAATTATGTGGCGATAGAAAAGTCTGCTTTTGTTTTCTGAAATAAAACTGCCGAGTGGTGTCAATGACTTCTCCTTGGACACGCACTTTAGATCCATCATAAGGTATAAAAATAAAGGTGTTGGTACCATCCAAAGGGATCCCGAGAAAAAGCTTGTTAGATGTGTCAAGCATGATCCGTCTCATCAGATTCAACACATTGATGTTTCCCACTTCAGTGGTCACTTCCTCTAGTTTGTCCAGGTGATCAATTGTTGATTCAACACAAATCGCTATCATACGCACGAGACCGGGACCAGACAGCGCTGAAATATATGTGCAAAATGATCAAAAGTTTGGTTAACTTTCATACCTTGTTGTCAACTTCCGCCGTCTCAACTGTGGAGCTTGCAGAGCAAGCGCGGCGGTTTTGTTAGGGAGGCTGTAAGATCATTTGAAGTAGCTAATTCTAATGATATACAAATACTGAACGTTTTCAATTTGTGGAAAGGAGGTGAATCAAAAATTGCGGACTCATAAATTAGTAACACTGGAATGTAATTTCCTGTTTGATTTCAACCTAGTGATACTAATTACGTCAATCTTTGTTACTATGTTGACTCTTAGTATATTAAAGGATTTAACAAGTTATTTTTGAAACTAAAGCACTTTTTTTTTTTTTCAATTAGAACAAGAAAGAGAAGTCTTTGAACTCAGTGGAGGCTGGGCTAGGAACAGCCGACTAAATTTATGGAAGTGCCAGCTGAGCTGATGTAAATGCTGGATTTGAATCATAAAAACATGGCTTGTGGGCATCATTTAATTTTGGTTTAATTGGATGAGATTAAGAATCTGCGAAGCTACTTCAGGACCATTTCAAATGGCATACCAAGCACGACAAGTGTGAAAGAACACGTGCAATAAAATAATTCTTACATAAAGAGAACTGATTTCTGTAATTTAAGTATGCAAAGGACAAACAGCAGTTCAGAAAAGATAGACTCTGTGCTACAGTAATGAAGTATATTAGTGCACATTGATTTACCTTTGGTGAAAAAGGGTCGAATTTCTTTCCAGTGTGCTGGGTTGTTATTAAAGATGATTCCATTTTCGTACATGCCAATGCACTGTAATCCAAGCTTGCTCCCGAATCGAGAAACATAATGCCAGTGTTTCATTACGTGGAACACGCTTGAGGGTCTGGGAAAGAAATGGGGAGAAAAAAGCCCAAACCAAAAATACCGTTTCATAGATTGTGCACAGAATTTTAATTCTGGCATCTTAGAGTTGCTCTGAAGTACTGACTTGCATTCTCAATTTAGCAGGAAGTATGATGCTTGACATTAAATGTTGTTCCTCTTACATAACTTAAAAATTCTGATGATAAATGCCTTCAGAACATACATTAGATCTGTTAATGTCTTCTGTTCAGATTTAAAACTATTTTTCAGCTAAAATGCAAATGGTTACCAAAATATTTTAATCTGAATAGTGTGCATACATAGAAACCTGTAGATATAGAAGACACAATCAGGCCGATGTCAGATATTTCAGAAGATGAGGTGTAAAATATTTGACAATTTCATCATGATGTGTATTAAATTACAGCTATACTTGCTATAACTATTTGGCCATTCGTAGACATGCAGAAAGCATGAATATATATGCATCATTTAAAAACGCAGCATCATCGTATGATATGTGTGGGATAAATATTCCTAAGAAGACGTGTTAGGGAAATCTGTGATACGTAGAAATATATCTACAGTTGACAAGGTTTATTTACACGTGTTGGGAAACGGGTTGTGTCCAGCATTATTGCTTTAAGATGTAATTTCCTTTAGAGGGAGCTAGTATTTCAGAAATGTTGACATGATGAAAACCCCATCAAATGAAATCCAACAAAAAGAAAGAAGACCAGAACAGAGATTGAAATGAAACGATACGCTTTCTTTACCACGTGGTGTGCTCTATGGGCTAAATCTCAGATTTCTTGCGTGGATTTAGTTTATTTTTTCAGTCAGGCAAAGTGGGACTTCTGCTATTAAGTTCAGCACTGCTGAGTTTTCACCATAGTTCTGCACGACCAGAGGTAAAGTGAACAGTGAGGTGCTGTATGGTACAAATAGACAAACATGGAATATGGGCTGGAGTAATAACAGGGAGGAGTGTGTCTGCAGGTCCAGCCTTCCAAAAAAAATCAAGGATTCTCTCTTTCCTGTACTTCCCCACGTCTGCTTTCTTCTCTAATTTCCTTAAAGGTTTTTTTGCATGTCAAAGAACATCATCTGTGCTTTCATGAACGTGAAAAGATGGTGTTGAATTATGACAGGTGTCCTCAAAAATGGAAAGGTATTTTCATTTTGCTTCCTTTTATTCCACACATCTACACAGGAGACGCATGATAACGTTTTAAGGGAGGATGTTGACATACGACCTTGTGTAAGCAGATTTTTCTTATGGAACTATTTAATGAAGTCCTCCAAAAGTCAACATCTGTTGTAACCCAGAATGTACATTAGCATCTCAGTACGGTTGGATTTGGTTAAAATTCCAATGATATTGATGGAAATAGTAAAGTCTTACAGAATTCAGGTTATGTTGAGTTTTGCAGTGAATTGACGAACCATTGTTAACTTTATCCTATATTATTGTATCAAAAAAAGTTAAATACTAGTTCCCTATGGTACAGTCTGAAGAAAAGTGAGGTATTGACTGTAAGGTCTGATGCAGCAGTGTTTATCAGCACTCCTGTTTTTTCTGGTGAATTGGTAGTGCAGAAAGTAGAAGAGAGCAGTGAGAATTCATAGTATTTTACATTATCAAAACATTACGGTACATTAGTTGATATTTGCAACACCTGTGTAGGATGAGCATGTAAATAGTTTTCTTGTCGTGGTTACCTCTCTTTAACAGAGGTAAAACCAGAGATGAAGCAGCCTTGCTTCACCTGGCAAATCCTGTGATAGTCCTCTTTACTATGTTGTTTTTCCAAAGCTTTGACATAATGAAATCTGAATATGAATTGTTTGATATTGCTAATAAAAAAAAAAAGGTTAATTCATCAATTACAGATAAACATTTTACTTTTTTCATGGCATAATTCATAAGCATCCAGAAGATCCAATGGAAGAAGAAAGCAACCCTCCACTGGAACTAATAAAATGATAAATAAAATAATGTGGTTTAGCATTGTGTTTAACATTGTGTGTAATCGAAGTCTATGAGTAATCCCATTAACTGTAGTGGAATTACTCATAATCCTATAACGCTGCGTTTGCTTCATGAACATGCTGAATTTGAGCCATAATCTTTCAAGCACTACTCCCACTGTAAAGAGAAATTTAAGAAAACAGGAAACTAAAATTTGGCTTAATCCTGCATTGCAGTCTGCCTAGGTTCTTGTGTAGTATGTAATCCTAATATTTAAATGGAATAGTTTTTTTTTTTTTTTTTTTTTCTTTTAGGATTGAGCCACAGTGCTTAATCTTCCTTTCCACAAAGAAAATTGAAGAATTCACATAGATTTCAGTAGAGTCTTTAAAGAAACAAAAGATTAGAAAGATGTCTGTGAACAGCAGGAAGTAAAAGATTTATGTTAGGATAATTTTTGAAAAGAATTACTTCAGTTCTACTTTAGAAAAAAAATATGTAGCAAAGAGGTAAAAATATGAAAAAGCTCTTTGTATTATTAAGGATAGGAAATAAGGATTTACTTGCTAATTATAAATGTTTCTTCACCGCTGATCCAAACTCGCACAAATTCTCCGTATGTCTTATTGTAGTAGTTGCAGGCATTACCTACTCCCATCCAGAGAAATCTCCCGTGTGAGAGGAGGGGACCGATTCCCATGCAGTATCCTGGCCCTAAGAAACAGGGTAAGAAAAGTCTGGTCTCAGCAGTGCTCATGACAAGACTATACCTCGGAGCATCACCCTTTTGAGTTTAAGATGGCAGTCAAGGTTTGCACTGGGCAGTTCATACACATAATCCTGGTCTGAAGCTCTGTCTGAGAGAAACTTGCATCTGTGTAGTTAAAGCCTCACTTAGTATCTGTGGGAGCCTGTAGCCCTTACAATGCACATACAACTTGTGGCACTGGTGACTTCTTTGTACAACTGCAAACTGTTGCTTACATTTGGAGGGACAACGGCTAGATATTAGAAAGAAGAAATGATGTGGAAAAAAAAAATGCATGTGGCTTATTAATTTGTGAGTATAGCATCCTTTGATCTTTGTTGATTTTGCTGAAATGTCATAGTAACACTTACAAAAGTCAATGTCCCTTTGATGTAGTTAAATTTAACGAATTACATCTTTTAAAGTCATTAATACCGGAGTGAGAAAACGGATCTTTAAAGGAAGAAGTCCTTTACTGCTGTGAACTTATGAAAACACACTTAAGTAGGAGCTGAGAATGGATTAAGAAGCATTTAGTCCACAAAGTTCTCAACTAAACCCTTCCACTGTAAATCAGCACCAAATTTCCCTCATACAACAAGAAGGAGAAAGTGGAGACAGCAGGAGAGAATTTGCCTTTAAATTACTTTTAAAAGGAAGTTTCCTTCTTTAGGGCAAGCTAAATTTGCCCCTTTTGTCTGTAAAACATAAATCGAACTCCATAAAACAAACTAAGTACTTAGAAAACTGTTGGATATTGTTAAAAAATTTAGAAGTTGCTTGTGGCTCCGCTGTTACCAATAGGAATTGCAAGACTCCGGATTGTTTAAATAGCTGTAAACTGAAAGCACATTGATTTAGTTCTGTGGTCTTGTTGAGCCAATCAAGCATTCAAATAGAAAGGGTAACCTTGTGTCAATGCTTGCCCCTTCTCTAACTTTCAGAGAGGTTTTTATCTATTGAATGACCTTTGGCAAGTGCCTTTTTTTCTCAGAATTTCATTCAGGTGCCACAGTGTGAGTTTAGGATTATTCCTGTCAGGCCCCTTTGTGAGCTGTGTACGCTGTTCTCATTTTTTTTTTTATCTAATGAAAAATAAGCTGAATCGGTAACGTCTACCATAAGCCCCCCCCCAAACATTACAAAGGAGCTCTCTGAAAGGGAAATTGTTTGATGTTGTTCTGTTCTGGAGGGCCTTCAGTGCCAAACATGGAGAGAAAAATTGATAATCTCCTAAAATCTGAATAATTTCCTAGATAATTTTTTTTTTCTAACAAAGACAATTTAGAAAGCTTTAAACTTAAAACGCGTCAAAAGTAGTTTATAACGCACATGTGGATATGCACATCTGGATATTGAAAAATGGTATTATATCCTTCTAGCAGATACATAATAAAGCAGAAAACTAAATGTCATATATAGCCATGCCAGGTTTATTATGGAAATTCTGAGGTTAGAGTGAGCCTGACTTCTTTTACAAGTTATTTTAGAAAGCTGTATTATTTAAACTGACTCTCAGTTTAATTTTGTTGGCATACAATCATTAGTCACCGTTACTTTCTCACTTAAATTTGAGGAACAAACAAACAAACAAGTACTCTGTGACAGCTTTTAGGTGGTACTACAGTTAAAGTTAATTTACCTGGTATTGATGAAGTTTCTTCATGACTCCACATTAGAAACAGAAAGCACACGAGAATGAGTAGAGGCACTGTGGCCGCTGGCACCGTATCCGGTACTAGGCTGGTGATGTTGTAGTGCATTGGATTCAGAGTTTCCAGTATCATCTTTTCCAAGAGATTCTGCTTTGCTTTAGGGAGAGAGAAAGGTGAAAAAAAAAGCAGAGTTTCAGCTTCAGCGGGTACCTCTCAACCCCTTTGTAGGTCTGTAAATGAGCAAATTAGCTCCTGAGGTAGCTTTATTTTATAACAAGAGTGACTGCCTGGACGGCTTGCCAGGACAAGCTACATCACAAGTCAAAACAGACGTGCAGCAGACACTCTTTTTGCTTGGAAGTAACAAAGCTTTTTCTGATGACCTTGATGTTGAAGCAGAGTTTGGGATACTTTGGCTGACAGACCTCTTATCTCTGATACTGACTTGGCTGCCCAATGCTGAGGTTTACTCCTTGCAAATTTCTAACCAAAACACAAGAAATTAAACTTTCAGCACATGTGGAAGCTTTGAATGAGTTCACTCGCAAGCTTTTATGTGTTACTTAACCTTTTTCCTTCCTGCATATCTGCAGTGCCAGAGCCCTTGAATTTCCAGAACAACCATGGTAGTTTTTCCTGATGCACATAGAGCGTACCCCAGGTTTTTGTTTGAAATAATGTGTTATGGTGGGTCTATTATCTATTATCCTTTGAGGATAATATAATGTATTTCATTTCTTTACAGTTCTTCCGCTAAATACTTTGAAAAATATACCATATGCTGTAACAAACAGGATCGTGGATTGTCTGGTACCATATTTTTCCTCAGGCAGTAACCAGCACTTGGCAATGGAAAAAAAAAAACCAAACAAACAACCCAGAACACAAACAAATAGACAGGTCTGTCATGCATAAGGGGAGTAGAAGGATTGCTCTGAAGTTGTTTTGCATGGTTTTGATTTAAATCATCAAATATGAGAGGTGATTGTACCTGAGAAGGAAGATGATGTTCTGTGAATGAGAACTTATGTAACCACAGAAAGATACTGCTTGCATCTGGACGGTAATTATTAATTAGCTACAGAAAGATACTGCTTGCACAGGGATTTATGAATAAGCCACCTTCTTAATTCTGTTCTGACAATAATTAAGAATAGATTTGCTTTGTTTCTTCTTGCAACAATATTTCAAAACTGAAGGATGCGTTTTCTTAATAGGAAGCTTTTTGTTACAGTTTACTTTCTTGTTTGTCTTGTGCTTTGGTCTCACATTGCAAAAGAAAGTACAGCTGACTTTGTAGTAAGTCAGTGCTGTAATTACATTAAACTAAGCAGAAAAATATAATAGAAAATAGAAAAATACATAGAGTACAGGCAAAACCCTGGAGGAGGGAGCAAACGGTGGCTCAAAACCTTGCAGGTGCATGCGACGCTCCAGCATTTTGGCTGATTGCTGTGTGAGACTTGTGGTACTGTTGTGATCCAAAATGACCATGGTGACCTTCTAGAAGGACGCCCGGTGACCCTTTAGCAGCATGCATGCTATTCCAGTAGCTAGCAGGACGCTGCTTAGGAGAGCATCCACCTTCCCCACCTTTGACTCTTGTACTGTCTTGCACGTTGTGAAAAATGTTTTTGTAATCACAAGCGGTTTGGTTTTTTTTCAACCACGAAATGGCATTTCTTAGTTTTCCTAGCGTGCTGTTGCACACTAATGATGTTTGCTTAGTACGAGCAAAAATGCTAACTTTATATGTCCTTGGTTTTGTTACCACAACAAAAGCATGTCTCTGTGTATATGGAAAAACTTTTATTAGTTTCAGCCCCTTTTACTGTATGAGCTTACAGCATTATAGAAGGAAGTAACTATGCTTAGGGCATATAGTTTCACTTTTTTTGCTGCTTTCTCTCAGGATCTGGATGAACTTCATCTTTATACACCATTGCCACAGTTAGGCTGTGGTGTTCGTTGGGTTTTTTCAATCTCCAAGACATTCTGGTGTGTCTGTACAGTAGTTTCTCTGCCTCCTATTCCCTCTGAAGGGAAGTCTGTAGGTGGTTATGCATCTGGGTGCTATGAACTAAACACGCCTGTACGTGCAAATGGGCACCTACGAATATTATCTCTGTAGGTTAACCCCACTGGAGTTCAAGGTGCTGATGTAGTTGCTCAGTGCGCTTTGGAAGCGTGACTCTCCCCCTTTTATTCTCTAAAAATTGACCCTGAGTTTTGCGTTTGCTCAGTTCTTAGTTATTCACAGTTAAAATTTTTGTTTTGACAAAGAAATGGAGGCAGGTTTCTATCTTTGCAAAATATTCAGATTGTAATGGATTGGGGTTTAGGTTTTAGATTATCCCAACTTCATAATTTTCTAATTTTTAATAAAAGAATAATATTTTTTCCATGATCTAATATATCAGTGTGCACCTTGCTGTTAGATTTATAATTTTTATATCCAGGATCATGCCCTCATGTAGATAAAAGGTATTAAAGGCACTGTATTAAATTTGAATCCTTTTACACTCTTGAACTGCTCCGAAGCAGGTTTATTTTTAGTCCAAGTGGCTCCTTAAGCTCTTAAAACAAGCAATTGACATTTCTTGTATTGAGAAGTTCCTTGCCTCAGCTCAATGAGTATGATCTTTTTTTTTTTTTTTTTTTTTTTTTTAATTTTAATTGCGAAGCCAACTGAACCATGAAAAGGTCACCTTAAAAATATTTCAGCTGAACTGCTCATCATCCCTTGTACCCATTGTATTTATTAAGAATTGTCCGTGAGGTAAATCACTCCTAATAAACACTCAGCCAAGCCAGTCCCTCAATCTGAGGGATTTCTTGGTTCTGATTGTTACTTATATGGTGGAGGGATGACAGCGATGGGGCAAAAAAAAGCTTTTAAAATCAAGTAGTGGGAGGATAGAGACTTGTAATAGGGAAGTGCTTTTGTGGCAAAATAAATGGGTGTTCACGGGCTGCCTAACCTGACAGTAACTGTGGATTTTAACAGCTGGGAAAGCATCTGCCAGCAGAGGGCCCTTCTGATTACTCATCTTTGTCTTGACTGTAAAGCACTGTGAGAAAAGTCTCGGTTCTGTTAAAAGTTTTCTTGCAAAAAAGTTATATGATGAATGATGACAGGGTCCACCGTAAGGAAAAAAAAGTCCATAGAAAGAATTCAACTGAAGCAAAGGATCAGATCAGTAAAGCACAGATTCAGAGCGAGTGAAAAATGAGTAAGAAAAAAATAAAGGCAAATCACAACAGGAAAAAGTCAACTGTGTTAACCCCTTTTATTCCAGTCAGAGCTTTGTACTTAATGACTTTGTCAGTAAAAAAGCAAATTATGTACCATAGTATAGAATCGGAGCCAAAAATTTCTGGTAATTTTGAGGACGAACTCATAAAACTACCTGAAAACTCTTGAAGAAGTTATTTCTGAGTGCTGGAATTCTTTCCTCTGTGGTCAGGAGAGACACGGGGAAAGTATCTGCTACTTGTTCCTAAATCCCCAGATGGTAGTGACCAATATTAACAGCATTTGAAGCAAGGTTTAACTAAACACTTTGGAAAAAATAAAATTTTTAAATAGACTCATTTCACACAAAAAGTAAATCTGTTGGCTTACATAAGTCCAGTAAATCTTTATTTTTCCAGGTAAAATGTTGTTGCCTTCCTCTTTTTCTAGAAGCTGATTTTCTGTGTTGCCTGTTTTCACTCAAGATGGACAGTTTCATGGAGGCTGTGAAGGTTCAGCCTTCTACATTTAAGTACGTAGACAGCGTTTGGCGGCGTTGATAGAGCCTAAAAGGAACACGGTACCTTTTGACAAATCAAGTAGTTGGTTTTGATTAGTTTTAGGCATGTAACTGTCTTGCTGTATTGTGATTATAGCACCTAACAGAGGATGAGAACTGCCTCTGACTTCAGGGCACGTCAGATCTCTTTATTAGAGCTCGTGCCCAAGGAGTCCCACACAGCTCTTTTGACATTGCCTTCAAGTTGTGGAGTTTATTGCAAAGTCAGAAATTCTTTTCCCAGCTGTTGAATAAGAAGTCATATGTGGAACTACCGTGGAACCCCCCATGTTGCAGCACTCCCAGTGCTGAACGACAACAGTGGGGGCTGCTTCTCCCCACCGGAGCCCTGGCCTCCTCTCACCGGGGGATACAGGGGGGCTCTGCACCAGCACATCTCACCCCCCTCCTTCCTCCTCCTTCCTTCCACTGACCTCGGTGTTCTCACGGATGTTCTCCTCGCAACTCCTGCGACTCCCCCCAGGTTCCCCTTCTTAAATACATTCTGACAGAGGTGGGTCTGCCTTGGAGCTGGGGCAGCTTCGAGAAACTTCTCACTGGGGGTCACTGCTGTAGCCCCCGCCCCTGCTTCCAAAAACCCCACCACCCATACAAACCCACCACACCTTGGAAGTCTGTGGGGTGCAAAGTTGGGAAAACATCGAAAGACTTTTCAAAACTTGGGAGTGGTTTCCATTCCTTGTAAACTGAGCAGTAGGATTATTCTGCAAAGCATCAGATTGCGTGTTAATTTATGTTTATGTTCAGTGTCACCCTGGAAATTGCTCGCAGATATTCCCCTGGTCTCTTCAGATGCTGTCATTGTCTCAGGGATGTCACTGAGAGATCTCCATCACAATCTATTGGGCGTTGATGTTGTGTTGCTCTTGTTGTAACGTTGTCTTTATTTATAGTATTTTTTTTTCCTTATTCATTATTCACTTGGTCTGAATCTGCGCTGTAGTGATCTGATCCTTTGCTCCACGTGACATCTGTCATCTTACAAAAGGTTTCATTTGCTCTTAAAAATGTGCAGAGCAGTCTTTTTAGGTGTTTTATATTACTCTGCTTTTGAAAGCACTTGTTTAGTTCTGTTTCCTACTTTTAATTCAGTCCTCTGCCACTCGAAAGATAATCATGGTAAAATGTGAACGTTAGGGAATGAATACACTGCATGTATTTACCTTTTCTGGTCGTTCCTTGAGTTCAAGTCAGTGGGCTAGAATTTGTGTAGTTGTGGAGGTCTATGACGTTTAATTGCTGTACAGATGTATTCTAGGCATGTTGAATGTTTATTATAGCCCTGTAGAATAATCCTATAATACTTGCTTTGAAATCTAATCTAAAGGGTGT